TTTTTTTTTTTTTTATCTTGGTTGCACAATGGGAAGCAACCATCTCCTATCCCTTATCTCACCGCACCCGCATGTCATGCGACTTGTATTGAGGACCTCATACTTCCAGCAAAATAAGATGATCACTAAGCTATTTAGGCCGTTGGCAATTTTGGAGGGTTGTTTGCACTCTAAATAATAATAATTTTAAAAAAATAGAGACGAATATAATAATTGAGATTTGAAAATATACTTAATTCATAATATTTAGTTCAAAGTTACCATCATTTAATTTTGATAAATTAGTAATAAAAATGTAATTAATTATATACAAGACAAAAAAAATGTTTAACCCATGGATTAACTAGTGACCCGTTAAGGTCGGATTAGGTCGGATTAGGGTTAGCACTTATTAACCCTCAACTTATATATGAACCAACTTGTAAAACTAGTGATTCGAGTAAACCCAACCCAAATCCGATCCAACCCCCCATTTGCTACCTCTACCTCTAAGGCTTCTATTGTCTACTCTGTTAGTAGGTTAATTAGTCTAGTTTGTCAATATAGTTTTCCCAATAAATTTGTAAACATACTTTCCGTCTGCAAGTATAGGTTTCGTTAGTCTGCCTAGTATAGTTAATATTTAATTTTAATTACTTAAGTTCACTAGCATAACTCTTGGTTGATATTTAGGTCTATCATCTCCTTAATCTAGTCTATGTTTTAAATCTATTCTATTGCACTCTTGAACTTTAGTCTATCTTTTAATAGGCATGCCTTTATTTTTCTTAAAGTTCCTCTTTTTTTTCATTCCTTATTAACAAACAATTTTATTAACAGCACTAGCAGCCCCCGGTGGATTAGCAATGTGCAACAAAAACTTTGTCCTAGCCAAGGTTCAAGTCCCTTTGAGAACAGTTGTAATATTTTCCCCTTCCCCCAAAGGTTCCCCTTGTACCAAAGAAAAAAAAAAAAAAACCAATTCTATTAACCATTGATGTGGAAAATCCCTGATGATTTTTTATTGTATTATTTTTAACTTATTTATGCAAGAAAGCATCCCTCCTTATCACTTATCTATCAAGGACACGTCTCTTAATCAAATTGATGTTCTTTTAGCTATCTAACATGGACGATTGACCGCTTAGGAGGGGAGGGTCGTAGAAAAAGTTCATTTTTTACTTTTACTACAAGTGACATGTTTAAGCACATCAATCACATAGAAGTTTAATAAGAATTTTTGAGAAAATAAAAGGTAAAATTAAAACAATAATATTTAATATTTTTTCAAATAAAAAGTAAAACAACTCATTTAAATCACTTTTTATTTAGTTAATGAATCAATTAAATCACACTAGAAAGACTATAAAATAATACATCAATTTATATACTTACAATATCGCAATATATTATTTTTCAAGTAGAGTATAGCTATATAGGGTCTTCATAATTGATATCTAAGAAGACACGGACGGACTGCATGTCAATCACGTTTATGCAGGCGGCCAGCCAAAATGGTATGTATCATGGTGTGGCATTCTAGAAGCAAGACATTTTTTTCTTTTGCTTCCATCACATGATTTGGATTTTCTTTTGCATTTAGTTAATGGGTTAGTGTAATTCAGGCCGATTTCAAAAGATTTTTAGAATATTTATTTAAAAATTTACATTTAAATTAATATTTTAAAAAATTAATTATTAAATTAAAATTTTTATTCATGTAAATTATATACATTAATTTTTATATTATTATAATATTTATAATTATCTGATAAAAGAAACTTTATTTACTAATATATACTTGGGGTGCGTTTAAGATTATTGTAGAGTACTGTGATTGTAATTATAGCTATGGTTGTACTGAATTATGTTGTACTGTAATTATAACTGAAAGTTAATTTGGTATTTAGTTATTTATTTTTTAAAAATATTATAAATGAAATATGATAGATTTTATTAATTATTAATTAAAATTTTAAAAATAGTGTTAGATATATAATTATTAAAATAGATAATATTTATAATTTTTTAATAATTTAGGTTTTTTTAATTTATTATCATTATTAAAATATTATAAATTATAATGTAATTAAATTATATAAAGTTGGATTTTAATTGATAATTTTATAATTATATTAAATATTAAGTGTTATTCATAAAACCCATAGCCATAAAATTTTAAAATAAGACTTCTTATTTTATATATAAAATTACTATAAATCTGTTGTGATTTCCTGTAATTTTTAGAAAAACAATCCGAAAAAATATTACTAAACACATATATATTGAAAAGTATTATGTAGTTATACGAAAAAACTCCCAACCACAATCCAATTGCACCCTTAACAATGTTAAATTTTGTATAGTCAATGAATTGGTTAGATCCCTTAGATCAATATGAAAATTAATACCTATAATATAAATAGAATTTTTAATTTAAAAGTTAGTTTAAAAATATTAATTAAAAAATAAATTTTTAAACAAATTTTTTTAAAAAAATTTAAAAAGGACCTGCAAAACACTTTTCTTTTTAGTTAATATTACATCTATTCAACTTTATTTGTTTTATTTTCACCTTTGAACATTTTAAACATTAATTTTAAATGAAAATTAACATAGTTATAATGATATTTGATTTTTTTTTATCCAATAAAACTAGTCAACAAGAACTACAAGACAAAGAAAAATTTTTAATTATAATCTATATATTTTGTTAAAATTTTATTTAAAATTAATAATTAAGAAATGAAAAAGTCAAAATAAGAAACTAAAATTAAAGGAAGATAGTAATAATAAATAATTTTTTAATATAAAATTAATTTTATGCCCATCCGTTATGGATGGGTAGTCAACCATAAAAATCTTACAAAAAATCAAAATTATAGTTTTGACTTTATAGCATTCAACAATTGCCGCAGGTCCCCGGGGGTTAAACTGAAAGTTGCGTTTGAGTGTGAAAGCAAAGCAAGAAAATTAAGAAAAAGGTTAAAGACGGGTATCATGCATGCAAAAGTCTTCTCTGTCAATTGACGAGACACTATCACGGTGGGGTCACTACTCCGCATTTTAATTTCTAGGACCTCTTGCATTGCGGTCCAGGTTGGGTTGGCAAAAATCGACTTGTACCCACAACTTTTTAAAAGTTTTTTAATTAAAAATATAATTTTTT